GCTAATCTATCGGGTTGCTGAAACTGTCTGTTGTTATTTCTGTCGATGCTAATAATGGTAATAATAATGGTAATAATGATGAATTGCCAAAATTGTAGAAGTATTCAAAGCATAGGTGCGTATCCAAATGATTACCAAACGTAATGGAATTTTGCAGATCTCAGCTTTATATTGAACGAAATATTTTATGCAATTACTCAGGTGATTTTTGACTAATATTTTGAATTTTCGAATTTTTTTTTTTTGTGCGGTTTTGTTTTATAACTTAAAACTGAAAAAAATTTGTATTATATATTTATTGAATAATGAATAAATTTGCTAAATTCAATTTGTACACTTCAATTTTGTAATAATTTTTAACAGAAAAAAAAAACAGAAATTAAGAAAAAAATTTATTATTTTCGCTTTTATTTTAGTTACTTCACTGCACTTAAAATTTCGTACTTGAATTGCACAATTTTTATTGAACAAAAAATTCGAAAGATATAAAAACACCAAAGGAAAAAACTGCGCGTAAATACCAGCAACAACAATAACAATAACAAAAACAACAAAACAAAAACAGAAACAGAAATGCAAGATCAGCTCAAATGATCGCACAACCGATCGCCTCAACGTTTACCGTCTTAATGCTTAGACCACGACAAATGCTTGAGAAAAACTTCACGCAAAAACTGTTCCTCTCGCTTTTCGTTACCAAAACCAATTCAACTGAGCAAAAATAGGGATTTCCGTTGGAAGCGATCGCAGCGTTGGCTTTTAAAGTTTAGGCCAAGTTAACTAAAAGTGAATACGACGATCAACGATCCACGATCAGCAATCGACGATATTTGTGGTTTTTCGTTTGAATTTTCTTTGCAACTGGTTCGCCGCAACGAGTTTAATACATATAAGTTCGTCTTATGCAGTAGAGAAGAGCGGCGCGCATAATTTAACACAATGTCTGTCTATTTGTTTAAACGATCGGCTCACTATCTCACTATCTGTAGGTCTGATCAAATGTCTCTTTGGCTTTTGTTTGGTTATCACTGCAAAATATAGAAATGAGGCTGCTTGCAGGAAACAATGCCTGAATGCAGCCAATAAACACGTGAGTGCATATTTCCATAATGCTGAGGAGTAGAAGAGAATGTAAAATGATAAATATTTTCCATATATCGACTTTTTCATATTTCTGCCATTATCTCCATTGTTGCTTGAGCTTCTTTTCTTCACTGCTGACGATGAAAAGGTCAACAACAGTTGCAAAAAAACCGAACTGGTAAACCGAAATTAAATGTCATTAAACACGTCTGAGAGACGGAAACATTTGGATTCAATGTAATTCAATTTAGTTTAATGTAAAAAATTTACAAATATTTGCGCCATACGTCATTTAAGGAATTTCATATTCAACTATTTACGATTTACGTCAAGATGGGGTGACACGATCAGTGAATTTACGTGTTTTTGCAATGAATTCCAAAAATTATTCTAGATCGACTATGTGCCTTACATAATAGGAGCAACTTAACATTAACAAAAACTAAAAAAAAAATAAATATAACAAAAAAGTTGCTTTAAAACTTGCTCGGTTAAATATGTTAATTGAATGAATAATAAATAGGAACAAATTCGAATTAGTTGGCAGTACGGAAACTAATAAAACACTATACATCTTAAAAACAGTAAAATCTACATATAGAAAATGTTAACACATCAAGAAGGGCTCACCTGAACTAGATCCTAGCTTATGAGTTATGATTGCTTGATCATTTCCATTTGTCGCATAATGTTTAATTGTTAGTAAGTAATAAACATTTTTACTAGGTATATAGTACTCTAATAAGAATAAAAAGTTTTTTAGAATGATAATGAACAATTATTTATGAAAATTTTGTATGGGGAACCCACCCCCATGTACAGGTGTTACATGTGTGTTATAGTACTCTATTAAGAGTAAAAAGTTTTTTTTAATGATAATGAACAATTTTTTATGAAACTTTTATATGGAAGGGTGGGCGTTGCATGTAACACCTCTGCTATTCTTCGGGCCACAGTATTCAGTTGTCAAATGCAACTGTACATCGAATAAAAGTAATATTTAAATACATTCAAGACCTTTTTGTAACTTTAGATTTTAACCATTGTCACTACGATACTCCCATTCATGTCGCCAACCACAATTCGTCAGGACAGCCGAAGCTATTGGTCCTAGCCTCTACGGTAATAGATTTACGCATCCGATCAGTTGCGGAAGTGAAACTTATTACCATTTATACTCCAATCAGTGTTGTGTGAAGCCTACTGAATTTTAGTTACCTCAATCGACAGGTATGCCTTAACACCGAAATATTCCTACACCTTTCAAATGCGCTTAGTATAGTACAGCATAATGTAGCAATGTTTGGTATAATTCAAGACGATGTTAAAGCCTTCTAAGTGCAACAGAAGCTTTATTTCCTTCTTATTTATCCTGTTATAAACATATCTCTATATGTTCCACGGGTTTCACACTTTCTGTTAAATATCGTGGCGGATCACTAATATTCCCAACAGAAAATACGAAAATTGAAGTGTAAAAGGTATGTTGAGGATATATTCGTTGCATAAAATGCATTATTATCGGTTCAATAAATTCTATGCAAATAACATAGCCTTAGATGCTTTGCTAGACATTAAATCGTGGTTTCATTTCTTCACACTTTCTGTTGAATATTGTGACAGCTTGATGATATTCAGAATATTCTCAGTCCTAAATTTCATCGCAAGTCCGCCTTATACGCTTAATGTACCATCTACGATTATTAAGATGGCATAATGTTCTATTATTATTATCATGATAGGTAGCATCAGAAAATTCAGATCGATTGCATCTGTTTCATGGAGTTTCAGGATAGTCTAATTAATGTTTCGACAATAACTCAAAGTATTTGTTTCTTGCATTAAATCAAGAATATAATATTCTTCTACTCTTATGGCTCATCTTCAAACCCAAATTATGTGAATGGATATAAATTTTCATCTAAAGACTTATAGCAGTCTCAGTGAATACTGTAAATATTGAATTATTTAAAATATGATCAAAATTTTAATTGATGTGTCCCAATATTAAAAAAAAGAACACTATTTTTTGATGTCGATTATTATGTCTTCTCCAGTTTTGTAGCTTTGAAGTTACACATGACTTGATTGTGTTCCATTTGTTATTAGCAAGCTGAAGAAAGTAGAGGTAAGTATTTTTCCAACGATTTCTATGGAACATCAACCGGAATTCATTAAGGATACATCTATGGCAGCACCATGGTGCCCAAAACCGTCAGTTTTTTATTCTCTTCAGAATGATGTGAACTAGTCGGGGTCGCTCGTCAATTACCTTATATTCTTTAACTAATTTTGATTTTATATCGAAGGATTGAAGAGCTTCAATTGCGCCACAACCCTAGACTACAAAACAACACAACTAGTTACAGTTCCTTGTGGTACTTACAAGCCAGGTCGGCTTGTAAGGAATCGCTGTCCGTTGCATGTACAATGAATAGGAGTCCCATATACAGCAAGCTTACTTGCAGTTAACCCCCACACAAGGTCAAGTTTAAAATTGTGTTTTTTTTGACATATCTGTTTGATTGATATACCTGCATATGTTTGTAGCGTACATCAATAAACATAAGCAAAATAGTTCAATCAGCAACAAAATGAGGTTTCGTTTAATAATAGTAGATTTATGCAAAGTTCTGGTTTTTGAACTTTAAATTTTGCTTATTAATGGAACTAATAAATTAGATTGCGTTTCGAATGGAGACAGACAAGATTGAAATTTTCGAATGAAATTTGATATATTCAAAATATATAAAAAACATAAATGAACTTTTGCATTTATACACATTTAATTTCATTCATCAAAGATACAGATTTTGAGTGCATTTATTAAATGTCAAAGTAGTTAAAACTGAAAGCAGTTGAACTTGATATTTCATGTTCTTGGACATGAAATAAGTCAGTGATATTTAATGAAGGTGCTAACAGGTTATTTCTCAAAATTGAAATCGGTGATTAATAAAACTTTTATTACGAATAAGATAATGAATATATGTCAGATATTATATCACTTTTTATTTAGCAAAAAAAAAAATAAATAAAGAAAAATTTTTTATGGGCATAACTGATATATAAATTTATTTATGTCGTTTTTTTTTAATATTTAAATTTATTTCAAGTGTAGAAAAAATTAATGTGGACATGATAGCCTTTAGCTAAAGCGAAGAAAGTACAAATTCAACTGCACAGCAACCGACGTTAGTTTAATTATAATTTGAAGCGTTCAAAAAATATTTAATTTTTGTTGTTTGTGTGATGTGTGGAGTGTGTTTTGCAATAGAAAACACACAAAACTCGACCACCGGCAGCTGGGGGATCAACACCCATTAATTAAAACATCGCAGGTATCATGTCAAAAACTCAACTTTTATATTTTTTTTGCTTGCACTGAACATACTTAATTTACCACACGCCGTAATAACAACTGCACCACGAATAATAATATTTTAAAGTAACTTCTTTTATGAAACAAGCATTGATCAACGTTCGAACAATGGCAATAATTGATCGAATTGAATATTTGATTAATTGGTTCGATGAGGTGTACGCGGGCGTATACGTAATTACTAATTTTATTGCCTCTTCACAGGCGAAGCATAAAGGAAATTTGCATAAACCGTGCCGAAAGCATGTGTTGTAATTATGTAAGCCGCTAATAAAATAAAATTAAGTTAAATAAATAAAAACATTAAATAAATAAATATAAAACAACAAAAAAAAAAAACAAATAAAATATATGTAGATATAAATAAAATAGTTACTCATGCATAATACATACAATATTAAAAAAACATTAACTACTGATTTTTTCACTGTTTCAAGCTAAACAAAACCATTCACAACATTATTTAAATTTTATTTGCATATAAATATTACTATTTTTTTATTTTATCTTAACAAATTAATTTAACTAAAATATGTAAAACATTAATGAAAAATAGGCCAAAAACGCATATGCCGGCATCATTTGAAATGCTACTAACTTTTTTTCCTCTCATACAAATTCACTTGCGTTTTTGTTGTGCCTGCAGACTGCCAGCGAATAGTGAACATTGAACACTGAACACACCAATAATTACAACAACAAAATTGCTGGAATATTTTTATTTTTGCTTTTGCCACTTCATTGTTGCTATTTTAAGCATATATGTACGGTTGTTAGTATATTATCAAAAAGGAAAGGGGTTAACCTTGTAAATTCACACAAAATTAACTCCTCGTCCACGGCTGCTGCTGCTTTACTGCGGCTGCTGCGACTGCTGCGACTGGTGCTGCTGCTGATTTCTGTTGTTTGTTGGCGGCGTGCTCATTTAATGCATTTTCTTTCTTGTTATTTATTATTGTTGTTGTTGCTATGGTTGTTGTTATATTAGTATTATAACGCACAAGTGTAGATTGATGGTTGAATGAATGGACAGACATTTTATTATCAGTGAAGGTAACTTAAATAGTTAGTCGGTGCGTAAAGCCTACGTCCGAAGCATAAAATATTATGGACGCTAAAATTATACGAAAATGTTTCAATTAGCAATTTCGTGACGTATACTTAAAATACACTTGAAAAAATTATATGAGAGAGCAGTTGAAGATAAATAAATGCTCATATTAAATTGTTTAAATACACATATGTGAAATTTTTGATTTATGTTGTTTGTCCAATATAATAATTGTTTAATTTTATTTGAATTAATAATTACTTTTAAATTTTTAAAATAGTAATAAATATTTTTAGTCAAATTTTTTCAATTGAAAAAGGAATCAAAATTTTAATGTAACATAAAATTATATACAACCTTATAATATATGGAAAATTCTATAAAACTTTTAATGTAGCATAAAAATATATATAGTAATATAAGTAAAATTTAAATGTCGGATATAGTAAACAATAATAATTCGTTCATAATACATACTTAATATCATTATCTTTGTTTATTATTAATATTATTAATTATGGTTAATTGTTACTTCCTTAATTGGCCATTACAACCCTTTATCGGTCTGATTCACAGTCTTATAAGTCCCTTATAAGTTATAATTACGTCTCAAGCACCTATGCTATTTAGTAGAATGAAATCGTGACAGGATACCCAG